AGGACGAGAGATTTTTTTGTTCTGAATTTTGATTTTTAATTAATTTAATTTAATAAGACAAAAAAAAAATTCATTAACATAACGTTTTTAATATTTAATATGAATTAAATGTTTAAAATTGAAATTTTAATTTTAATTCATAGTTTGACTGGAAACTGTTGGCCTTTCTGAAATCTAGGCAAAGTGAGACAAATATGTGTGAGAAAGAAAGTAAAGTGATCAAATTGGACACATTTGACAAAAAGTAATACAAATTGGATATATTTGACAGAGATTCCCAATTATCCTTGAATTGCTTGAAATAGAAACTATGTGGATACAATTGATCAAATTGAAATATAGGAACTAAAGTGACTTTTTACCATTAAAAAATAAGCCATTTAATTATTTGACAAAAACTAAAAAGTTGGTGCTTTCTTTATTGTCCTGCTTATAGTGGCTTGCATTGTAGGTGTTCGAGGAAACTCCCAAACCAAAGTCACCTTTATTTACCCGCGTATTCTGATGTCTTAATTTATATATGTTGATCGTGTATGTTGATCGTGGAGTATGAGGTGTTAATTTATTATATGTTGATGGTTGTTGACAAATTTTTCTTGTTGGGTGAGGCGCATCAGGTATCTTTTGTCAATTGAAAATTTTAAAATTTAAGTTTAGGAGTAAAAAATGCATAAATTCAGAAATTTCAGTTTGTTTCTATCTCAAGTGGTAAAGTTGAAAAGACGAATTAAATCTAACTAGGAACTTCAATTTTGGTACTTAGTTTAAAGTAAATCGTTCTCTTGCCAAACTGTTTGACATTTATTTGATACATTGCCAAATGTGCGAATAAGAATCATTTGTCATGTTTATTCTTTCTTGAATGTGTAGTTAAGATTCATGGTTTAACAACATAAGTATTTTCCTGATATTACAAGTCTGATTAGAGAACGTTAAGAGAAGTCTGAATTCCCCCACTATCATAAACTAAAAGTGCAACAAATTAGACATAGTCAAAAGCCATGGCCTTGAATTCACGTACCTGGGATGGTGTGTGGATAACATGTATGATATTTCCTCCATTTGTGTTTGCATATTTCTTCATCATAAGGCCAATCTACTCGAAGCTCAAAGCCATACGTGAGGGCACTGTGTATGAATTCATAAGAGGTATTGTAGCCCTTAGAGTAGTTCAAGAGCGCCAAAGCCACCCACTCTGCACTGCAACCCTCATTCAAATCCCCCACTTCCATATCCCCAACCTTCACATAACTGTACGTCTTTTGTTGGACCAAAGAAGAAGCATTTATATTCAAGCATGGAGCAGTGTCCACGTACAGAGAAGAATTCACTGGATTCGAACACTTGATGTAAAATACAGGTGTCGAAAGCAGATAATAATAATATACACTATATGGACCTTCTAAAAAATGTGGAAAATTTTGAGGCATGGAGGAGCAATTGTTTTTCTGGAGGCCAGGATCTACGAGTTGGATTGTTTGGTTGTGGTAGTTGATTGCCTGGACATAGTATTTTCCTGAAGGAGGTAGGTCTACTAGTGTAATGTTGTTCTCACAGGACAGAGTATACATTACATTGCCGCAGTGCTTTGGATCATCTTTTAGTCGGAAAGGATAGCTTATGTTGTGGATATTGCCGCAGGAAGAGGTACAGTTAGCACTGTCGTCTTTCGCGTTACAAGTTTCTCCGGATAACCCAACAAGAAGTGCTACTATCAAAACCCACCTAGACAAGGCCAAGAACCTGCTTTCCATGGGGAGAGAGAGAGAGAGAGAGAGAGAGAGCAGAGAGAGAGAGAGAGAGAGAGAGAGAGAGAGAGAGAGCAGAGAGCAGAGAGAGAGGGGTTGTTTGGCATTCAAATTAGCTTAATATTTAGACAGTTTCTTATAAGAGTTTCGCCGAATATTTACAGTTATCGGATAACATTTGAAAAATATCAAAAGAAAAGTCCAGGTAAGCATATGTTGACTGACGTTAGAGAGTCAGTCAAATGGTCGACATATGTTGATTGAAAATTTTATTGACTTCTTGAGTCAATCAAAAGAAAAGTCTTTGTTTGTATATTCATTTATTGACTGTAAAAGCGCCAAGCTTGTTTCCGATTTCTTGTGAGTGGTCGATTGAGCAAGGTCAATTCATTGCTGTACACGACATATCTATCCAAATACATCTGCTCAGGAAAATATCCAGTGCCACTTTAGCACAGAAATGCAGCGATTCCTCATCTCCTGCCTTTGCATACTGTATATGGTGTTGGAAGTTTGAAAGCAAATGGAGTCCCACATTGGAGAAACCAAAAGGTTTCTCATGCTTTATAAGCATGAAACTTTTACACCAATTAAATAAGAAATTGGTGGTATGATGGACTTGGATGGTTGGCTTGCATGATGGGCTTGATTAATAATAATA